GCAGTGCGCATAAATTGCCCGTGCGCGATCAATTTCACCCAGTTTCCTTTCCATTTCAGCAAATTCAATGCTCATTGCTCTGTAAAATCGCAATACACAATTCAGAAAATTACGGAATATTGGAACGGCTGGAGAGAATAAAAAAAAAAAAAACCAAAAGGCTAAATAAATAGAGCACCTGGACTGATCCTCCGGAAGCACTTCAATAGCATGCTCGTATATTGGTCTTGAATGCGTCAATCCATACATACTTTTTGCTTTCTTGATGTAAATATTAAACATCTGAAACTTCTTTAATGAAGTAAACAAGGAAGCATGGAAAATCCATAGAAACCAGCAAACTTCAATGCTGGTTAGGAGGCTGTACTGATGATTCCCACGCCTTACCGTACCTTATACTGTTCGTGTTTACAACCATGAGATGAAATACAGGCAAGCCAACTTCTACATATTCCTCTTAACGTGGCTTGCCAACATGGCACCCGGTTTATACCAAATTAACAGCCCCACTATTTTTCCCATCACAGTCTATTCACCAATTTGACCTACATTAATTCATGGATTACGGTCGTTCCATATTTTCTACGGTTCGGACTGGCCGTTTATTTCAGAAATTACGGTTCGACCTACTAAGGGCCGCAAATTATTTGTCAACTTAACCCATTCCGGCCGCTCCACTTGGACCGTCCACTTATGATTCGGCCTTCTAATGGCTGTTACTTATCATTGTCATTTCACTGCTCATATGGAACATAAAAATCCTATACAGTGCCGCTGTTTTGAAGATTTTTGCTCTGGCTGCAAAAACATTATAAAACTTCCCAAGAAGCCTTCTTTGGGAAGGCTAAAAAGCTTACGCTGTACATTTCATGCCTTTCGACAGCAGCAGTGGCACGATTGTAGATGTTCATTGCGTGCCTCGGCAAACCATACTGTTCTTCCAGTTTTGCATACAACAGATATAATTCTGTAACAAAATTTCCATTAGACGGCTAAACTCCACTGACAAAGTAT